ACCCTCTACCTTTTTCTTCTGGAGAGATCTCTTTCCAACTTTCAGTCTTTTTCACTCTAAGATGTAGACCCACAAGTCTATGTAGCCTTATCCCATCCCTGGGCCCAACTCTAGTCCCCTGAAGTCCAGTCTGGGCCCAGGGCCTGGACTGCTGTTTCTAGGAGAAGAGAGTTGAGTATACAGGAAGTACAAAGTAGGGTTGGACCTGGTTAAAAGAGCTTGTGATGTTGGGGTGAGTTCAACCCACAGATGTGGGTTCAAATCCCCTGTTGCCTCTCACCGGCTTTGTGAACTTGGTCATGTTCCTTAGACTCTCTCATCTTTATTGATCATGATTCCGTACTATGAAGATGAGATAAAGTATATATAACAACCACCATACAATAGGTGATCAGTAAATGCTACTTCTTTTCTCTGCTGTTAGTTATTTGTTCTGTTAAAAGAAAAACTTAAGGCAAATTAAATTTAACAGAGTTCAGATGAGCAAAGAATTGATCCGAGAATCGGACAGCCACAGGAACCAGAACAGGTTCAGAGTGATTTCAGGGCTGCCACATGGTCAGATGATATTTATGAACAGAAAAAGGAAGGTGGTGGACAGTAACCGGAAGTGAGGCATAGGGCAGCTGGATTGGTTACAGCTTGGCATTTGCTTCATTTGAACACAGTTTGAACAGCTGGCTGCCTGTGATTGGTAAAAACTGTTTCAGTTACAGTCTGTTTACACATCTAGTTATGTTATAGTTCACTGTATACAGAGAAACCTTTAGGCCAAACTTAAAATATGCAAGAAGGCAGCTTCAGGCTAAATTTAACAGCCTGTATTTCCAATTAATTTACAAAAATCCTGGTGTGTTGGGAAAGGGTGACTCTTGTGTATATTGCTGTTGCTTAGCAGGTGGGACTTAGCATTCTTAAACTGGGGGGTGGTGTCGGGCAGAGTTGGGGGGTAATAAATACAGCCAGTTACCCACGTGCCCCAGGTTAAATGCTGTATTTCTGCTACAGGGGGAAAGAGTTACTAGGCCAGAGTCTTTTTTACACAGCATATAAACATTTCACTAAGGGAAGGAGAAAAATATCATTTTAAAAGCTGGATAAATTTTCTGGTGGTTGCCACAGGACAATGACTGGGTTCTTCCAGGGAAGAGAATTGCGTTTTCTGTCAGGACCAGGCATTGATGGCTAGCAAGAGGTGAGGCTGCCCCCTGCCGGACATGGTGGGGAAGGCGGGGAGGGAGGGAAGTGGAATAGGAAACTGAGAACCTTCCCCCCACCTGCTGAGGGAAGAGATGGCTGGGGGTGGGGCGGGGGTCCAGATAAGCATAGAGTGGGGTCCCCGGATCACGTCAGCTGGAACAGTGGATGGGAATTGAGAATTCAGCCAGAGCAGCAAGTCAGACTCACAGCGGACTTAAAATCTCCTTCTTACCCCAAGTTCTTTATTTCTCAGAAAAGTGGGGCAAATGCTTGATTTTCTGTCATTTGTAATGGGTACCTGAGCCATTTGGGAAAAGGTGACCCCATAAGGCTGGAGGGATTGAGGATGCCTTGGTTGCTTGTGACAAGCCGAGTAACATAGTCTTCATGTGCCTGGCACCTGAAGAAATTACTCTTGCAGGGTAGTCCTGAAGCATTGCATTTCATTATTTCCCTCGGGAGGAGAAACTCGAGCTGAACTCGTGACATACGTAGGATTGGGGAAGGGGCTTGGCAGATCTTTGTGGTCTTTGTCATGAATCAGACCCTGTAAGTCAGCTGTAGTTTCTCATTGGCCCATAATGCTCGATTGGACAAAGGGCTTCTCAGGCTATTGCTGGTCATCTCTTCCTCTGGAAATCTGGACATTTTTCTTCCGAGAGGCTGCTACTCATCTTGCCTCTCTAAATAGCCCTTCTTCGCCTTCCTTCTTGGCTTCTGCATCTTGAAGGTAGGCCCAATGTTCCTGGAAGCCTTCCCTGGTCTGGCTTCTTGCTCAGTTCATAGGCATCTCATCCATGGCCAGGGTTGTGCCTCTTCCCATGGGGTGACAAATGCTCAAGATGATAGCTGTAGCTCCTGAGTTTTGGATGCCTGTTTCCTCGTGGATGTCCTGGGCACCCTAAACTCATAGTATCCTACATCTCCCTCCTTCTCACCTATTTAGACCTCTGATCAGCTGGTGGCTTGACTGTGCTCCCAGTCAGCAGGACACTTCCCAGTGACAGGTAACTCCCGTCTCACCGCACCACCTGTATCCTGGCACGGCTCCTTCTCTGCCAGTGCACTGTGGACATGGGCAGGGCTCTCAGGGATACTGTAGTTCACCCCTGGGTACCTGTGCTTAGGTGTCAGCCATTCCCGTCCCTCCACATCCCTTATCTCTGGCTGGCCACATCTTAGGGCCAGATGAAAGGTTTCTGCCCATGGAGTTTTACCTGGTGCCCCAGCCCAGCGTAGCGCCCCCTGTCTTGTGAATTTCTCATGCCATTTTGTCAGCACGCCTTCACGTTCCAGAGCACAACTGCCCTTGTATCGCGCTTACTGACGTCTGTGTTACATTCCTCTACCTACAAGGTGAGTCCATTGTGAGCAGGATGTTTATCCGATCCATCACCTTACTCAACTCAGTGACTTGTACATATCTGGGCTCAATAAATGAGCTTTGTGGCCGTTAGCACACTAAGTGCATTCTAGTCATGTACTTGCCTGTATCTCCAGCTGGTGGGTAAGTTTCTTCAGGACTGGACTAAGCATGATTCACTTTGTGTCCATTATATCAACGGGGCACTGTGCCTGGCACAACCTATGTAATAAATGCTGAATTAAATGGGTGGAAATAACTCCATTAATCATTTAGTATTTGTTGTACCGTGAAGAACTCTAACATTAAAAGTCTTGGATAAAAAACCAAAAATTTTGGCTGAAGCGGATGAACACATAAAAGAAATCGAGAAAGAGGGTCTAGAGTTGGAGGAGGAAATCTAGGAGAATGTGGTGTCACAAGAAAGGGAAGAATTTAGCTGGAGAGAGGCACCAAATAAGGAGATGACTGGTTTAGCAGCATGGGGGTCTTTGGGGAGCTGTGGAGAGCCATTTTTCCTTGGAAGGAAAGGAACAGGAGCCAGAGTGGGATGCATTGTGGAGTGAACAGGAGAGTAGAAATGGAAAAAAAAAATATTGATAAATTTTCAAGAACTTTGCTTATCGAAAGAAGGATAAGAGGGAGGCAAATAGATGTGGGAGTGGCATCCAGTGAGGATTTTCTTTTAAAATGGGGTATACATGAGTATGTTTGAAAGATGGCGGAGTGGCAAAGACCTTCCCAAGCAAAACATAAAACTCTGAATGAGAACTAAGAAATTTAATTACATAAAACTATATTTTTTGCATAAAAGTAAGTGACACGTTGGGAAAGAACATTTGTAACACACATAATGGATGTAACACATTACTTGGACTATCACAAATGGAGGTGCAAAAAGAAAACGTATTTGTAACTGCACTCTACTTGCTTCCCAGCTCATTCCCATTTGAAGCAGAGGATAACCACGTAGACAAACAAAACAATTAAAATATCCCCTCAATGTGACTTAGTTGCTTTTAATGTATTCATCCTTAAAAATCTAGATAGTATGTGCTGTCTCCAAGGAATCCATCTATGGATTCTCTGTGTTGTCCTTGATCTTTGCACGTACTTCTGTTGGTCAACATAACGTTGGCTGTAATCACATGATGCATGTCTGTGTCTCCAACTTGACCTTGAGTTTTTTGAGGTAGGGACATTCTCAGTATCCAGGATAGGCCCATTACCCATGTATATGTGTTGACCCTTGATGATTAATAGTCACATAAGTCCCTTGCATGCTTCAGTGTTTTGGAGTGTTAGAGAGGACTATTTCTGCATTTGTCACATTCCTGGAAGGAACATTTTCAGCCCCCAGCAACCTCTCCGGTGCCCCTTCTTAGCTCCACTTTGTCCAAATATAACTATGCTCTGATTTCCAGCACCTTAAATTAGTTTTGCCTCCTTTTGAACCTCATATGAAATGCATCACACAGCTTGTATTCTTTTGTGTCTGACTTAGTACATTCAATACTATGAGAGTGAGATTCAAACGTACTGATGTGTGTTACAGTAGTTCATTTTCCTTGTTGTGTAGTATTTTATGATATGAATGGTCATTGTGGTTTTAATCATAAATTATTTTTTGCTTCTTAGAGAAAAGGCCTTTCCTAAATCTAGAATATTATTTAGCCAAGGCCATGTTTGGTGTTGTAATTTTTTCCCCTATACTGTATGAGTGTCTAAAACACAAGGAAAACAAGAGTCCATGCTCCTCTTTCTCTTAGAAAACACAATTTAAAACAGTACCGTGTTTCCCCCCAAATAAGACAGGGTCTTATATTTATTTTTCCTCAAGAATACACCCTAGAGCTTATTTTCAGGGGATGTGTTATTTTTTTTAAGTACAGTACAACAATCTACATTTATTCAAATATAGTTAAGTCGTCTTCTTCTGGAATATCATCATAACTCTCCAAACCCCGAATTCCAGCCTGAATTTCTTGCAACTCTATTTCCTTTAGAACCATTGGCCCCAATCTCTCATGTGGAGCAATAGAGCTCTCATGGGGCAGATGAGAAGGGCTGCTCGTCTTTACGGCTCTGGCACGAAATGCATGGGTTGTGCAGATGTGCTGGGTAGCCACGCCCATCACTAGGTCTTATTTTCGGGGTAGGGCTTCTATTGTGCAAACGTTTAGAAATCCTGCTAGGGCTTATTTTATGGGTAGGTCTTATTTTCAGGGAAACACGGTACACAAACATGAATGGACTCTTTCTCGAGTTCTTTTCCATAGAGCTGGGCTTTCGCTCTGTGGGACCACCACCCTGAACGTTAACTTGGACGGTGGGAGTAGCAGGGAGTGGCCCCCCTGAGCGGAGAGCCCCCCGGGGGGCCGGGGCCTGACGTGCGTTTCCGTCCCTACCCCTGTCTCCCCGCGTCTGCGATTTCCAGTAAGATGAGTCAGAAAGCGCGGAAGGAGGGTCCCAGACTCTCCAAGAACCAGAGACTCTCCGAGCACTTCAGCATACACTGCTGCCCGCCCTTCACTTTCCTCAACTCCAAGCGCGAGATCGTGGACCGGAAATACAGCATCTGCAAGAGCGGCTGCTTCTACCAGAAGGAGGAGGAGGACCTGGTCTGCTGCGCGTGCCAGAAGACCAGGTGGGTGGTGGCAGTGGCCGCGCGCGCCGGGCTGGGGCTGGGCTGGGCTGGGCTGGGCTGGGGCTCTGCAAGCCACTCTTCCCCCGGCCCCTGCCAGTCGGCTCCGGGTTAGGCTGCCAGGCACTCCAGGGGGACTGGAGCGTGGGAGGGGGCGCAGGGCCTTCCTCCCTGTTTCCAGCTCCTGCCAGCGTCCCTTAAGCGGCGGAGGAGAGCCACGGCCCCAGCCTCCAGCTTCTTTTGGCCCTCCCAGAACCAGCCGCCGTGCAACGTCCCCTCAGAGGCCCAAGCAACCGCCAGCTGCGCCCCCCGCGGTGGTCAGAGCGCCGGCCAAGCCACGGTCCCCTCCGAGGTTGGAGCGCCAGCCACGCCCCCGCCCAGAGGCCCGACCGCCACCCGCCAAGCCGCGCCCCCCTCAGAAGGCCAAGAAACAGCCGCGCAGCAGCCCCGTCAGAGGGCCGGGCGCCAGCCGTGGGGGGTCCCCCGTCAAAGCTTCTAGGTTCTGGTAACACCATCTCTTCCCTCTTGTTCCCCCAGCCCTAAGGTTAGTAAGCTGCTTCCTGTGTTTACTAACATCGGGCTGCCTCCGTGGCCCTGTTTCAGTCTTACCAAACCTGTGCGATCAACCCCCTGCATTAAATCCCCTCTGGTTGAAATACCTAGTGTGGCTTCTGGTTTCCTCCTAAATGCTATTGGTGCATACTTCAGGCGGCTGTGTCCTTTGCTTCCTTTGTCTAATAGGAAGTCATTAATTTGTCAATTCAGATTATTGACCACAGGGACAGACTGAATACATGACTACCTTGACTCCTTCCTGTGCCTCAGAGAGAGGAGGAATGGTGACTCTAATACAATGTCTGTATGTGTAACAGGAGATGGTCATCCTTTGTATTCTTCCATCCTCCCAACACATTTCATCTGATGTTAATCTTAGTGGCAATACCATTCATGCATTCATTCATCCACTTATTGAGTTATTCAGCAGTTACTGCATACCTATAAAGTTATATATTCTGTGCTGGGGGAAAGGGAATATGGCAGTGAACAAGCCATGGTGTTTGGGATTCACCAGGTCCAAATAAGAGAGTAGTTGGTCATAGTATGGGGTGTAAATGCTATCCTATTGTCATGATCAGTATGCACATTGGACTACAAGAGCCTTGAGCAAAGAGTTATTGGCTCTGCCACAGAAGTTTTGGGGTTTACAGAGGAGATTAGGGTAGGATGAGCAGATGGTATAAGAAAAGTGATCCACGTAGAGAGAAAAGGAGAGCCAAAGAGCACCTGTTCCCCTGCTCTATCTCAGGTAGACCAGCTTATTATTATTATTATTATTTTTAAAGATTTCATTGGTTAAAACAGTTTTAGGTTTACAGCAAAATTGAGGGGAAGGTGCAGAGATTTCCCCTTTATCTCCTACCCCAATGTATGGGGCACCAACTTTTTAGTTCTTTTAATATTTGTAAGTGAATTTGTTTTATAAGTTAGTAGTGGATGTTGACTAAATTTGAGATTCTCTTATCTCCTCTGATACCCAGCACCTACATGGCATATTTCTGTGTGTAGATGTTTACTGATTTAGCAGGAAAAATCAACTGGGGAGCATATTAAAGATGCTCCGAAAGCATCTGATTTATTGGGTTGCTAGTAATGGCCGGGGGTCTGCATTTTCAACAAGCACTTCCTCCCCCAAGATATAGTTACATAGGTGGTACACAGACTGCACAATGAGCAACACTGACCTAAATCATCCGTATATAAATAATTCAGATTATCTGTGTTGTGTAGTAAAGAAATGTGAAAGGTGACAAATTTATGGTGCCCAAAGTGAAAGCATTAAAAAGATGAAAGATCAGGTGAGTTTAATTTGTGAAGGAAGTAACAGGCTGCACTGCCCAGTCACTAAAACTTTAAAAGAAAGTTGTATGCCAGGTTACCTAATCATTAACTTAGTCTCTGTTCAGGAGTCTGGATACAAGGGCCCTAAGACATGTAGGGATTGATATGTGGAAGTAGTTGGAAAATGTGCACAGCAGAAGAAATTAATTATATAAGAGGCATGTCACTTATGGTGCCATGGAGGCATGTCACCTATGAAAGCCACCATCTACAATGAGTTGAATGATGGCTCTTTGGGCAACTGGAATTCCAGCAGGACATGGAAAGGAGAGAGGAGACAGTGAGAGCAAAACTCTGCCTCACCTACAGATTTTTCTGGCTCTGCCTTGCTTGTTACATTCACCTAATCAACAGAGATCCTAGTACCAACACGTTCTAACTCCCTCAGTTAGCTCATCTCAGTGGGTATCAGAGAAGGTGCCTCCACAGGCTGTCATTGCCTCCAGCCTTTGTCCCTTACCTGGGAACAGAGGACCTGAAAGGCTCCATTCATAATGTCCCATGACAAAGGCCTATCGGGTTCTTAATAACTCCCTTAGATAGGACTTCTCAAAACCCAGAGAATAATTTAATCTTAGAAACCAACTGACATGATTCCCAACATCCTGATTAAGTTTGGTAGCATCCTCATATTTGATAGGAGGAAATCCTGGCATTTTCTTCTTAATTTATTCTGCTCTTTCAATTCTTTAAGATTTTAGGATTTCACAAGGTTGTCCTTACCCTTTGGGTTAATAGGCATTTCCTGGGCTGAGCCTCTTGGTTCCTCAGTGCTCTGCTTTTGAGAGCTGGGGATCTGTGGTTCCTTCACAACTACCAAGGTGGCTGTTTGGGGGCTAATCAGTCAGCCATACTGGGCAGTGCTGTCTGGGCCTTTGACTCATTCTTTCAGAGTACGTTTTATATAGTATCAAATTGGGCCCTGCATAAAAGAAGCCTGGAAGAACAACTTCTTTCTTTCTTTTTTTATTTTTATTTTTTTTGAGACAGAGTCTCGCTTTGTTGTCCAGGCTACAGTGAGTGCCATGGCATCAGCCTAGCTCACAGCAACCTCAAACTCCTGGGCTCAAGCGATCCTCCTGCCTCAGCCTCCCGAGTAGCTGGGACTATAGGCATGTGCCACTATGCCCGGCTAATTTTTTTTTATATATATGTATCAGTTGGTCAATTAATTTCTTTCTATTTATAGTAGAGACGAGGTCTCACTCTTGCTCAGGCTGGTTTCGAACTCCTGACCTCGAGCAATCTGCCCGCCTCGGCCTCCCAGAGAGCTAGGATTACAGGCGTGAGCCACCGCGCCCGGCCTTAGAACAACTTATTTCTGCATGTATCTATCAAGCTTATTAATCAAGACCATGTGCATAGGAAAGCATCAAGTTCTAGGAATCAAGAGAAATGAAGTAGGCTTAGATGATAGCTATGAATGACCCATTCCTCGGTGATGCTGCTGTTCCCTCCAGGGACAGCCCTGAGATTGGCTGCCTCCACCCTCAGCCCCCGTCCAGTGGTTCCACCTCCCTGATCTCTTGCCTTCAGCCACTTATTTATTACCTTGTCTCACTTTAGCATATGACAAAAATCAAAGCCCAGGAAAGATAACTGTTAGAGAGAGAAGTGTGAAGGGACTCTCTCTACAGGATTTAGTGTCTAGGAGTCAGAGAAAGCTCTAGTGTTCAGTTTCAAATTGAAGCAAGCTCTAGTTTGGTGGTTTGTTGACCATCCGTGGTCCAGGGCTAGGCATGTCAGCACATTGCTTCTCAAATTTAGAACAAGCACCACCAGCTGAATAACTACATGCCGATTGGGTTCATTGCCCATAGGTAAGAAGGAACTCTACTTTCCTTTTGTAACTATAGAAGAAAAGATTCATATTTGTATGTTGGTTTGAATTTGTTTGGAGTTATCTAGACCTCCAAAGAACGGTGAAGGCTGGGCGCGGTGGCTCACGCCTGTAATCCTAGCACTCTGGGAGGCCTAGGTGGGAGGATTGCTTGAGGTTAGGAGTTCGAGACCAGCTGGGCAAGAATGAGACCCCGTCTCTACTAAAAATAGAAAGAAATTAATTGGCCAACTAAAAATATATAGAAAAAAATTAGCCAGGTGTGGTGGCGTATGCCTGTAGTTCCAGCTACCTGGGAGGCTGAGGCAGGAGGATCGCTCGAGCCCAGGAGTTTGAGGTTGCTGTGAGCTAGGCTGATGCCATGGCACTCTAGCTTGGGAAACAGAGTGAGACTCTTGTCTCAAAAAAACCAAAAAAACAAAAAAACAACAAAAAACAATGAAGTTATAAATATTTTATAATTGTCAATTATAATTGACAAGCTAGAATTCACTTCAGAAGAGTGCTGGCCCAAGAGCAGTTACTATGAGAGGTCCAAGGTGTGCACTGACGTACCGGCCATCAGGGCCAGCTGCTAAGGTTCAGGTTGTTAGGAAGAGACAGCCTCCCTGCTCCCTTAGGCATGCAGACTCAACATTTTTCTGGATGCTTCCTATGACTTGACTTGTCCTTCTTTTGGCTGCTCTGATGTGGAAGGGATACACTCTGCATTTTCTCCTTCCAGAAAACTATATAGAGCATTCTCCCTTTCTTCATGCAGGAATGGGGGAACTAGCCCTTCCATTTCCCTTTTCTGGGCCCTCCCTTTATTTCCCTGAGTAAAAAAACACTGACTTTGTAGTCATGTCTTAGAAAGAGTTGTTTTTCTTACATGCTTGTGGAAAAATCCCCATGCAGGACTATATTATACTTAATTTCATCCCAGTGGTTATGCCCTAGTAGCAATCTATCATTGGTCTCTTCAGCCAAACAAAATCAGGAATTCAGCTATCATTTTCTAGGTAATAGCAGAGCCAGGGAAAGAGCCTGAGCTCTTTGCTTTCCATCCAGGCTCTTGCCCTGGTGGCCTTTCCAGCTGCATTATTGCTTTTATAAGTTTGGGTGACCAAACTGTTGAATCTTGATCTACCTAAGCCATAGAGCCCCATCAGGGGGCAGGCCTTTCTGCATCATGGTGGTCCCTATGGCACAGTGCCCTTGCATAGCAGAAAGGCCTCCAGTCCTGGGAGCTGTGTGTTTTTTCCCAGTCTGCAGCTTATGCCTGGTCATAGGTCCTTACCTGGTCTAGACCACATGGTCTATTCTCCTGCAACACTCATTTCACAAATCCCTAGTTCTAGATCAAGCTCACAATCTGCCTTTGCTTCTTTGGTTTCCTGAATGCTGAGCATGGTCAGACAGAGAGCTGCTGAGCACAGCTGGGAAAAGCATTTTAGCCTCATGGGTTGGGGCCACCACAAATGGATGAGCCCCAGCCCTCCCCAGACAGGCCTGCCTCCTCCAACCCCTCCTCCTTCTCAGGATTTTTCTCTGTCTTTAAATCCTTGCCCTCAGCCTCAAAGCATCAGGCCAGCCTCTCCCCAACCACACACACCCTTGTGGTCTTTCTCCCTCTGCTCCTTTTCTCCCCCAGGGTCTTGCTGCACAATTTATCTACCTCCCGAATCACTTTGGCCTTTTTATATTGTCTCTTTCTCTTTAGCCTTTCAACATGTTTAGCTCTCTTATATTGACTCGGATATTCACCTCTGGACCTGTCCTATCCTTTTTCCTTCCTTCTCTGACAAATTTTAAAAAGAAAATCC